TAGGAAGGTAATATTTTGCTGCAGGTGAGGCAGTATTAAAGTGAATGTGTTGCTTTGCTCTGCATAGGCAAATCTCTGGTTCACTTTAGGGGGTGTATTTATAAACAATTTGCAGTGTCCTTCACCCTGCAAATATTTGTGAATATTTGTTTTGAGTGAATAATGCCAAAAAGGAATGTTCTTAATATATTTTGATTCCAGTTCGAATGTATTCTCATGTAATACTACATCATGGCCACTAGATGGAGCAGAGGAGCAAATACTTATTGCCTATGCTCCTCGGCTCCATCAAGTGGCCAAAATGGTTATAGTACAACAATATATTTGAACTGGAAAAAATATATATTAAGAACATTCGTTTTTTTTTTTTTTTTAATTATTTGCCCAAAACAAGGGCCCTGCAAATTGTTTATAAAATGACCCATAAGTATCTTTTCCCGTTTTTCTCATTTTTTTAAAATGTGTTGTGAAATTTATACTGCCAGATAAAGAAATATAGACTTATTTTGTCTCCTCCTCTCCTATTCAGCGTCTGGTCGCCATGAACATGCCTCTGAACAGCGATGGGACAGTCATGTTTAACGCAACTCTCTTCGCTTTGGTTCGGACTTCTCTATGCATCAAAACTGATGGTAACTCTGCCTCATCCTATTATATGACTGCCATTGCTGATCTCTAAACTACAGATCAGAAATGTACTTTTATCTTCATTACCTATCTATGGCTTTATTAACATTGCAAAGCATCAGGTTGACACGCACAAGATCTGTGAGCCACAGTAACCAATAGGGTTTCAGTTCACTGGAGACAGATCATGAAAGGTGGTTGCTGATTGGTTGCTGTGTCTTGTATTTTATTGTAAGCCTCTAAATGTCTAACAGTCCTCTTGGGTCCATTGTTCTATTCACAGGTAACCTGGAACAGGCCAATGAGGAACTCCGAGCTATCGTTAAGAAGATCTGGAAGAGGACCAGTATGAAACTGTTGGACCAGGTGGTGCCGCCAGCTGGTGGTAAGTGAGCCGTGCCAAAATGACTTTGCCTGCCGTCATTTTGGTGTCACCCCCTCTGAAAATTTGAGCACTCGGTCATGGACTGGGAACTTAACAGTTGCACGAGAGAGGAGGGGACCTGGCGGCATACCTTATCCCGCCGGATGCACGTCCCCTCCTCTCTTTGCCAGCGTCCATCACCAAGATGGCCGTCAGCAGTGAAGTGAACATGACATTACACTCATGCGTAATAAAGTCATGTGTATATCTGACACCCAGTGGCCGCACTGGGTGACACCTGGCCTGGTAACACCGCTGGGTAAAGGCACCCCATATGTGGCCGAGTAAGCGTGTTTTTTCCCTGTGAGAATGCACACAAATGTGCAGGAAAAAACTCAGAAGGCATGTCGCCAAATTAGCAACATGCACTTTGTTTATGCGGCTGGCACACGTCTATGGGACCCAATGGGGATCTATGGGGATGCGCACCAAGCATGTGAAACAAAGTCCCGTAAACCTGCGGGAATGCGCATACCCGCGATGCACGTCTCTTCTACATACTGGTGGGAATGGGGCCTAAAGGAACACATAATGTTCACGGAATATACATTTGAGTTCTTATTAACATTTGCCTGTTCATCCTTTTTATTATGACTGGTGTACAGATTTGCAGAGGAGCAATGGAACACAGTTACTGTAGAAAAGTGTCTGCAGATAGCCCACCCTGCAGAGGAATAGTAGAAGACAGTCGCAGCACAAAAGTGTCTGCTGATAGCCCACCCTGCAGAGGAATAGTAGAAGACAGTCGCCGCACAAAAGTGTCTGCAGGTAGCCCACCCTGCAGAGGGATAGTAGAAGACAGTCGCCGCACAAAAGTGTCTGCAGATAGCCCACCCTGCAGAGGGATAGTAGAAGACAGTCGCCGCACAAAAGTGTCTGCAGGTAGCCCACCCTGCAGCCACACTCTCTCCCTGCACTGCTGGAGCCCTCACTAACAGATATAGAGTAACACATGACCTACCCCATGTAACAGTGGTTAGACCTGAGCGGCCAGTCACCAGGCCTGAACACTGTAACGAGGGGGGGACCCATGATGCCATCCTCCTGTGTAAGCTCTAACACCAGCTGACACAGCAGCTTAGACACCACAAAGTGACATGTCTCTTTCAGACTTCACTAGGTGCATGCTTGTTCTCTATCAGTGACTCACTAAGTAATAAAATGAGGATGAAGATGACAGATCCAGAACTACAACTTTAAACTGACTTCAGCAATGACAGCTGCCATAATCCTGTGCTCAGAGGTTTACTCTAAGGCTCCATTTACACCTGAGCGGCTGTCTGCGTGTATTCGGCTGTACGGTTGCGTGCGGAGCAGCTCTAAACACAAAAAACAATGCACTTCAATGTGCATCAATCACACCATTGTGGGGGCGAAAACCGCGCGGCCTCCGAAATAGTGCAAGCGCGATAATCTGGCGTGTGAACGGCATCCGCGCGGATCTAAAGAAAATAGCGTTTTCGCCCCGCTCGTTCTTAATCCAATGTTAGATTTACCCGCACGTACAATCTATAAATGACATAAATTCTGACGCCATTCTCCTTCCTTCCCAATCTTTCTTTTCTTCTCCTGTAGATGACGAGGTCACTGTGGGGAAGTTTTACGCCACCTTCCTGATTCAAGAATACTTCCGCAAGTTCAAGAAGCGCAAAGAGCAGGGGCTTGTGGGAAAACCATCGCAGCGCACCGCTCTCTCCCTGCAGGTAACTGTCCCTGCACCCTCTTGTTCGCTATGCACCCCCGGGCCTCTCCTTGAGGGGAATTTATCAGAACTGGAGTCTTCCTGTTGACTCGAGTCTTCCTATTGGAATGGTAATGTGTGGGTGTCCTTGTTCTTCAATAGGGAATCTTTAGAATAAGGAGCTGGTGACCACTATTTGACTTTTACATAGAAAGCCAAGATTTGTTTAAGACTTCAGCTGCAAATCGATTAAGAGGCTACTAAACACCACCACACATTCGATTTTCATGTACTTAGTTGGAATTGTTCAGGTTTGAGATGGATTTATTTTAAGGGAAAAACGAAATATTACTATTTTTAGCGTGTATACTTTGTGAGTCATTATTTTAATGTTAATATTATAATACCTCTAAAGTAATTTTTCATATGATTCCTATGACTATTCACACCTAGGTCCCCAAAATGTATCTAAACCCAAAACATTTTTATGACTTATGGATGGAGTGGTGGATTGCTGCTTGCGTCTCCTCTGGGATGATTTGCCTTCTCTATTCCGGTGACCATGATTATGAAATATACAACTTGTCAAGTGGTCCACAGAAGAGATATAGAGCAAACACTGGCGACAACTGTCTAAGGGGGGGATTTCCTTTACTTTAAATGCCTTTCCTCTCACTTCCGGTAAAGTGTAAAGGAAGTCAGGGGAAATCTCCCCAGTTAGACACAGATGGCAAAAAAAACCTAACATGATTTTTAATCATTCCCTACTCTATCCAACGTAAAAAAAAAGGTTTTGGCTTTAAATATACTTTACATTTATCTCCAGTTATTATTACAAAGGATCTTTTACTGAACTGGTATCATGACAAAGTTAGATGATTGACCTAAGGCTCCGCCCTCTCTGCATGGAGGGATCCTCATTGGATGGGCGGCTTGAGGAGGGACAGCCATACATAAAGCCAATGTATCAAAGTATATTGAGTGCAAAACTATTATCTTGTTTACGGAACTGTATATAATACTCCAGGGGTAGGCAACCTTGACACTCCAGCTGTGAAACTACAAATTCCTTTATGCTTCTGCCTCTGGGAGCCATGCCTGTGGCTGTCAGCCTTGCAATGCATCATAGGACTTATAATTCCACAACCGGTGGAGTGACAAGGTTGCCTACCCCTGTACTACTCTGTAGATAGAGGTGTATTTCTATATAATATATAGTATACCATACAGATCTGTACATACCACATTGTATATAATTGTACAATCCAATCTGTATAGCCATGTACACCACCCTGTACATAGATGTATATACCACCCATGTATATGTACATACCACCCCATGAATTTGTATATACCACCATGTATGTAAGTGTATATATCTGTATATACCATTTGTATATATTCGTATATACCACCCTTATATAGCCTCGTCTTACAACCGTTATGTACTTGTATATAGCACGGTGTTCCTATATGTATACTTTGCCCTGACAATAAATATTTGTGGTTATCTGTATACAATGGAAACAAAACATTCTATATAAATATAGAAGGACAGGGTACGATCTATGACAATATATATTATATTTATACTGGTAACAGCAAGTATCTCTATTGTACAAATGAAATAAAGGACAATATATCTCTTTCGATATAATCCCAAAAATATAATGTGTATACTACCTAATTAATCTAATCACCAGGCAGAGGTGGATTGGCCCACTGACTAGAGGGTCTGCCAGGTGAAGATTTTCCTTGAAGCCGGTGTAATTTGCATCATGTTATCCTTGTGTCTTCTGCTACCTCTTGCTGGAGGAACTCGGCCATGGTACACTGTCCAGATCTTTGTGGTTCCCCCTCAGGCCGGACTGCGCACACTGCACGATATTGGGCCTGAGATTCGGCGTGCTATTTCCGGAGATCTGACCGCGGAGGAGGAGCTGGACAAAGCCATGAAGGAGGCGGTGTCAGCGGCGTCTGAGGACGACATCTTCCGGGTGTGTAGTAGGAATGGGCACTGAATGTATTGGGTGGGGGGGAATGGAGGGTGGGCACTACAAAGGCCCGCTTTACCCAGGACGGGCAGGTACTTGTTTGTTACCATAGTATTTGTCACCCTGTAACATTGTATTCATCATCCATTACTCTAATACTGTATATGTCATACTGTAACTTTGTATTCATCGCCCTAACGATGTATCCATCAGTCTCTAACATTATATCTGTCACTCTGAAATCCATTCATTCGGCTCAATTCACAAAGCTTTAAAACAAGGCCATCCCTATAGTTTAGCCATGTGACCATTTTTTAGAAATCTCATTGGAAAATAACTTACTTTTTTGTAAATCAGTCTGCTTGTCTTGGTGTATTAGCTTTATAAATTGAGCCTAAGGCCTCATGCACATGGGGCTATTATGTGCGACTGAAGGCGCCTGCCACAAGAAGCTGCTTGGGGCAGAAATCCCAGGTGTGTCCATACAGATGCGGCCACTGAGCCCGTTCAAATAAATGACTGTCCGTGACTGTCTGTATGTGATTGTACATGAAATGAATACCTGCTTATTGGGATAGATGCTTGTCCTGGACCGATCTCTCAAGCATTTATCCTGATCAACATGTATTCGTTTCATGTACAATCACATACAGATGTGCCATTCCATGTATGATTACATGTGAACAGCCACAGCATCTGTATGGAGCTACCTGGGATTCCTGTGGCATATAATAGCCTCATGTGCATGTAATTGTATCCATAAACCCATTAGCCTCTCTCCATCATGCAGCAACACTGTAGGCTCAGTTTACATGAGAAAAAGGTGACAGATATTTTAAGTTACATTATTATAATCTGTGTTAATTTATAGCTATGCCGCTAAAATAAAAGGTCCTTGTCCCTGTGTAAAAGCTTTGTGAATTGAGCTTTATATATGTTCCCTTGTAATATTCTATTCATTGTTTGTAACTTTGTATCATTTACTCTGGAACCTTGTATCCACCATGGTGAAACATTGTATCTGTTACCCTGTATTATATCCATTGTTCTGTGACACTGTATCCTCCACTCTGTAACATTGTATCCTCCACTCAGTAACATTGTATCCTTCACGCTGTAACATTGTATCCTTCACGCTGTAACATTGTATCCTTCACTCCGTAACATTGTATCCTTCACTCTGTAACATTGTATCCTTCACTCTGTAACATTGTACCCTTCACTCTGTAACATTGTATCCTTCACGCTGTAACATTGTATCCTTCACTCTGTCACATTGTATCCTTCACTCTGTCACATTGTATCCTTCACTCTGTCACATGGTATCCTTCACTCTGTCACATGGTATCCTTCACTCTGTAGCATTGTATCCTTCACTCTGTAACATTGTATCCACTCTGTAACATTGTATCCTTCACTCTGTCACATGGTATCCTTCACTCTGTAACATTGTATCCTTCACTCTGTCACATTGTATCCTTCACTCTGTCACATGGTATCCTTCACTCTGTCACATGGTATCCTTCACTCTGTAGCATTGTATCCTTCACTCTGTAACATTGTATCCACTCTGTAACATTGTATCCTTCACTCTGTCACATGGTATCCTTCACTCTGTAACATTGTATCCACTCTGTAACACTGAATCCTTCACTCTGTAACATGGAATCCTTCACTCTGTACCATTGTATCCTTCACTCTGTACCATTGTATCCTTCACTCTGTAACATGTAACATTGTATCTCTCATTCTGTAGCATTGTATCCTTCACCCTGTAACATTGTATCCTTCACTCTAACATTGTATCCTTCACTCTGTACCATTGTATCCTTCACTCTGTAACATTGTATTCTTTACTCTGTAACATTGTATCTCTCATTCTGTAGCATTGTATCCTTCACCCTGTAACATTGTATCCTTCACTCTGGAATATTGTATCCTTCACTCTGTAACATTGTATCCTTCACTCTGTACCCTTGTATCCTTCACTCGGTACCCTTGTATCCTTCACTCTGTACCATTGTATCCTTCACTCTGTACCATTGTATCCTTTACTCTGTACCATTGTATCTCTCATTCTGTAGCATTGTATCCTTCATTCTGTAACATTGTATCTCTCATTCTGTAACATTGTATCTTTCACTTTGTAACCTTGCATCTCTCATTCTGTAACAATGTATCCTTCACTCTCTAAAGTGATCCTGTGAAGACAGAAATATTGGAGCCAACTTGTTTTTTTTGTTGGAGCTCTTATCTACAGTATATCCTGGCTTTGCTAAGTGACTAGCCACTAACCTGGAACAAGCATGCAGCCAGTGAAGTCTAATAATGCGTCCCACATGCCGCTTCCTGGTCAGTGGTGTATAAGGTGGTGAGGCCAAGATATGGATAACAGCTCCGATGTCTGCACCTTAAAATAATACATTAGCAAAGCAAAGGGTACTATCATCTCCTGTTTCTTTAATATTCTTCAGCTTGTAGCACTGTATCCATTGCTGTGTGACATTGTGTCCAACATGCTTTATTATCATGTATGACACTCTATACTTCTGTATCTGTCACACTGTACCATGGTATAATTTATACTATTACAATCTACATATATATGTGTGTGTTTTAGCCCTCTTCCAAAACCTGCCCTCTTTATCTGCCTATTTCCTGCTTCTGCTTCTTGACAATCCTGTTTTTCAGTCACATAGTCCTCCACTCAGCATTCTCCTTGTGCATCACATGACACATTCATTCTGTCAGCGGAATTGCTCTGTAAAGGCCACTGTCGTATCTGATCTTGTACTGAAGGTCACAAAAGTGTATTTAAACACTTACAATTCATTTCTCTTATTAGCGCCCTTTTTGGTCTGTTAAATATATAATTGAAATTGTTTTGTTATATCTGTTCAATAAGTGAACTACCTGTTGGTCCTGCCAGGAATCCAGTGCTGTTCTGTGAACTCGTTTTATGAGCCATGTTCAGTTCCCAACTTCCCATTATAAACAAAAAAACTCCCTCCCATATTCTTGAGATCAGGTGAAGGAGAGTTATTCTATAGTCTTACTTCCTGTTCAAGGGTAACAATGCTGCTCCTCCATAGATACAGTACAGTGAGTGAGCATTGCCACCTTAGAACAGGAAGTGTGTTACTGGCAGGATCACTGGGTGAAAATAAAGGAAAACAGCCTGAAAAAAGAAAACGAATGCAGAAGCCACATCTTAAAACTGGTAAGCTGCAGTGTATTACATTTTTGTTCTTGGGTTTAGATACATTTAACTCTGTTTAATAGCCCTGTACCAATTCACTGACCACATAACTTTCCCAGAGCACCAGTATATCACTTATTATGTTTACATTACATGTACATTAAACACAAGTGGATCTATTATAAACAATCTGTGAACATTTTTTTGGGGGCGAATAATGGCACAAATTAATGTTCTTAATCTTTTAAAAAAAAATATATATTGTAATAGTACAATATGGTCACTAAATGGAGCTGAGGAGCTTAGGCTATAAATACTTCTCTCCTATACTCCTCAGCTTCATCTGGTGGCCAAAATGTATTATTATAACACTCTACATTCAAACTGGGAAAAATATATTAAGAACATTGGTTTTGGCCATAGCGATTATTCACAGATATTTGCAGGGTGAAGGGCCCTGCTAATTGTCTATGAATAGATCCCATAGCTTTTGTGCAATTATTTTTTCTGTCAGAACTCTCAGCAAAGAAAAAGGTCAGCCCACCCAAAAGTGATCATTTAAATCCGAGTAAGATCTAGTGATTGGAGTCAGCCCCTGGTTTCCTATATGGCTCTTTTCCTCTTCACTTGGGTGTTTTGGATTTCCTCACCTACTTTTGTGTGTTTGTCAGAACCTCCTGTTGCATTATTTTAATAATATAATGAAATTAAAAGCCAGCAGGAATGCTTGGAACTCCTCATAATATGCACAGCAGTTGTACAGACCTGCAGGAATGGGGTGGCACACCTCAGAATGAGCCCTGCAAGTGTGCAGACCTTGGAAATCAAAACCGGGATGGTGGGAGCACATCATAATGGGCACAGCAGGTTTACAGGCACTGGATCTCAGCATAGGGCTAGTGGGAGCCCCTCATAATAGGCACAGCACATATGCAGAGCTGGGAGTGTGCAGAGATCTCCCCAAGTAATAGAAGAAACTTAAGGGGTTTAAAAGAGAACTATGGCCCAATCTTTTTTTTCCATAGTTCTCTTTAGGGTCACAGGAGGACATATACTAATGTCCTCCTGTGACCCAAAACTCTATATGCTGACAACGCAGAGCAATATTGTCGGGATCCACGCCGCTGCCTGATTGACAGCTGGCTCTGCCTCTCTAGAGGCAGAGCCAGCTGTGCCCGCCCCCTGCAGGGGAGCGCTACCTGCAGGTAGACGATCGGGAACTGAGCGATCGGCGGTATGTGATCATCAGTTCCCAATCAATAGAGCTAACGTGTGACAGCTTCAGTGTCACGCATTGGCTCTAATTATAAGAATGAGTGTATTTCACTCCCCCCATAATTCTCCTATAACTCTCCAGCATTTGCCTAATGCTGAAATATCAGATATGAGGGGACTGACCTTTATAGTGGGGTGTACTTATCTCCCTGATTACTTTTTCCATTTCTGCAAGATCTATTTTGGCTGCCCAACCACTGAATACTTGCTAGAAGTCATCACTGTGGAGTACTTGTAATTTATTTAGATCACATAAAGTAAGATTCCAGACAAGTCAATATTGTGCTTTAACTTTATCTCTCCCTTTGTCTTGGCAGAGGGCGGGAGGATTGTTTGGGAATCACGTAGGATACTATCAGAGCGAGGTGCGAAGTGCATTCCCTCAAACCTTCACAACGCAGAGACCATTACACATCAACAAGACATCTGCTAGTCCTGGGGATATAGACTCACCTTCTCATGAGAAACTGGTGGACTCCACCTTCACACCCAGCAGCTACTCGTCCTCCGGATCCAATGCCAACATCAACAATGCCAACAACACGGCCCTAGTACGTCTTCCTAATCTGCCAGCCTACCAGAGCATGGTCAGTACTGTAGAGGGGCAGAGTCGCCCGCTGCGCACACACGGGTCCTGGAAAATCAGCTCTAAGAGGTAAGAGGATTCTGGAAAGGCAAAATGGCTCCCTGTCTTGTGACTGCTGGCTTGTGTCCCCCTGATCTGTTTAGGATTGGATCAAACCGGCCTTTACCAACAAAAGACCTTTCTCCATGTCTGATTAGAATTTAAAAAAATTGGGTAATCTTCACCAATGGGAAATGTTGTTCCTAAATTGTTTAGAACCATGGATTAAGCTGGTCTTCACCAATAGAAGAATTTGCTCCAAATCTTATTTAGAACTTCGGATTCAGTCAGTATCACAAATACAAGAGTTTGCTCCAAGTCAGTTTATAACTGTGCATTGAGCGGGTCTTCACCAATAGAAGAGTTTGCTCCAAGTCAATCTAGAAATATGGATAGAGCTGTGAGTCTGTTTAGAACTATGGATGAAGCAGTTCTTCACTAATAGAAGATGTTGCATGTATTTAGAACTGTGGATGGAATTGGTCTTCACCAAACAAAGATTTTACTTCAAGTCTGTTTAGAGCTGTGGATCAAGCTGACTTTTACCAGTCGAAGACCTTGCTCCAAGTCTGTTTAGAACAGACAGCAGTGGGTGACAAAAACTAAACACCATAGTGAACAAAAAAAGTGCATTTGAACACACAAAAAAGTGCACTGGAGTGCGTCTCAATGGTGTATCTCCAGAAATGATAGAGCCCCTTTCCTGACCCACGGGGCACAAGGCTTCTGTCAGAGCATTTGTGTCCACCTAGCTGAAGCCAGATTGACCCATTCTTCTTGGTCAGCCAAAGCTGACCACCGAGAACTAGTTTGGGGGGCTCCTCCCAACACCCCCCCCCATTTCAGTGGAGGAAGGAACTTGATGGCCACACATCCTTCCCCTAGACTTCAGGGCAGGCCCCGAAGACCCACACCCTTCATCCTGTGGAGTGAAGTGCACAAAGTTAAAAAAATAAATCAGTGCCAATGTGCAAGGCTAGGCCCTATGACCTGGTTTAAAAAATGACCCCTGGTCTTAGCCCAAGGGCCTAGCCCAAGAGGAAAGGTGCAATAAAAGCAAGAAGTGTCGTGGCCTTAGTGCCTTTTACACAGTGGGTCCCAAACCCATACTATTACTCCAGGGGGGCATTCCCGGTGCGCTTGACACTGCAGACTCCCTGCCTTGCCAGCTCATGACCAGACCAGGAAGACCCATTCAAATCAGGACGTTTGGGACCCTCACAGATCTCAGACAAAAGAAAGTACTCCTGACCCCCGCTTTTATGTGAGTGGATGCTCAATTCAGTTTCCTTAACCCCAGCCAGGACCCTTAGAGACCCCCATCAGCTCAGGCAGAGTAGTCTGCAACCAGCCATTCCTGCCATAAGGCCAGAACAATGGCAAATTTTCCCTCCTGAACACTAATAAGAACAGATAATACACAAGAAGCGAGAACACATGACAAGTGGCCATGCTGACACACATTACGCAGGCATGGAGAAGTGTTGTTTGAGCTGGTCTTCACCTAGAGAAGAGCTTGCTCATAGTCTATTTAGAACTATAGATGGAACTGGTCTAAATTCTCACTCATAGTCTGTTTAGAGCTATGGATGGAACTGGCCCCCAAAACGTGCTTTCCTTGAATTAGGCAATAGATCGTAGGCAATTTAGTAGCTCTCATAGACCGACATATCTACACGCCTCCCTGCTAATTGGCAAAGAAGACAGGAGCAGAGCTGGAAAAAAATTCTCTTTCATTTTGAGAGCGTTTTGTTTTTTTTTGTCTTGGATCAGACCAGCTCAGCTTAAACATGAGGACGGAGGCGTGGCTACAGAAAGATGCTAAAATTCAGATTTATGGACATGCACCTGGCAATGAAAAGCAGTATATTGTTTTTCGCTAAAAGGGCAGCATTTGTTTCCAAAATGAAAAGATTTTTATTATCTGACTACTTAATACACAGACGAACCCTTTATCTGAAGATCTATGAAGTTGCACTCCAGTGCCCATCAGGCTTAACCAGTCATGGCGCATGCTGTGGTCTTTTTTGCCTTTCAACTTATAAACATATTTATTCATTTATTAAACATGTTTTGATATAATTACTTCTCATAACCCTTTTCACACCAAAACTGTGGGTCTGTTCTGTTGTGAAGCTGTATTTCATTACACAGTGATGTCATCCTAAAATGTTTCAGGCACTGGGGGCTAAGGTATTTAGGCAGTCTTCTGGGAATAGAGGAGCATAGGGAGGACCTCAGCAGTACCTAGCATGGCTGCTTATGGGAAGATGACTCTGGTAGCTGCAGACTTTAAGTAGCCACTTTCTCATAACCCTGCCAGCATAGCGTGGCAGGGTTATGAGAATTGCAAGAGTAGCTGAGCAGAATTGCTCATCTATTGGCAGGTATAGTAGTTCACATCTATGTATGTTACCTGTATATGTTAGCTGTTTATCTGTAGCTCCACTTTAAATCCCTTGCTTAGCCTTCGTAGGTGGTTACTCGTGTTTCTGTCTGATACCAGGGTTGTCTCTCTCTCTCTATGTGACCGTCTTTTTTTGTTTCTCTCTGTGCTGTCTCAGGACATGTCACTGCGCGTTCTGGGGACGGTAGGTGTCTGTCATTCTCGTACATCTGTTCTGTGTGTCCGGTGGGGGGGGGATCAGAATTTTTCAAGAGGGTCAAACAGGAAGTGCTGCCACTAACATATCCCTCACCCTCCACAGTTCAGTGTCCCGGGACAGCCGACTGCCAATCATCTGCCGCGAGGAGGCATCTCAGGATGAGACATATGATGCCAGCGAAGAGGTGGAGTACAACAGCGAACCGAGCCTCCTCTGCTCAGACATGTAAGATCACAGACACACAAGAGGCTTTAGCTGAGTACTAAGACATTAACTGCAATGTTTTATGCCGAGTGTTAATATATATTCTTATTTTCCTTTGCCATCAGACTTATGTAGCTCTGAGCATCTGTAATAGTTCAGATTTTGCAGGATACAGGCCTTCATGCTATCAGTCAGGATAACTGAGCCCCCTCTCAATGGTTGTTGGGTGGGCAGGTCAAGTAGAAAGATGTGTCCTTTTTCCAAAGCTTCTAGTGGGAGAAATAATGTACTGATTGTGATGTTGTCCCACTCACCAGCAATAAGTCAATACTATTGGCTGTATGACCTCTAGAAGAAGGAGATCATCCTGAAAGTTTCAGATAAAAATGAAAAATTGTTACATGTGAATAATTCATCTTATATCTTGATTATTATAATTAGTATAGATTTATGCACACTCTGTCTAATATGTCCCTTCAAAAGGTATAAATATATACATTAGGTAGAAAATACTATTCTGCTGACCTTCTATCTACCTTTCTGCTTGCACCCACCACCAAGATATCACACCTCCAACATGACCCTCTATAAGATAGAAAATACTCTGCTCCTGACTTGCTCTGTAGCTTTCTGAATACACTCACTACCAGGATATCACACCCTTCAACGTGACCCTTAGGAAATACTCCGTTTCTGGCTTCTCTCTACCTTTTGGTATATATCCACCACTTGGATATTACACCCTCCAACATGGCCCTCCTTAAGGTAGAAAATACTCCGCTCCTGGTCTTCTATCTACCTTTCCGAAAACACTCATTACCGGGATATCACACTGTCCAACCTGACTGCCATAAAGTAGAAAATACTCTGCTCCTCTCTCCGCCATTCTGTATTCACCAGCACTGGGATATCACACCCTCCAACATGACTTCCATAAAGTAGAAAATACTCTGCTTCTGACCTCTCTACCTTACTGATTACCCTCATTACCGGGATATCACACCCTCCAACCTGATCCTCTACAAGGTAGGAAATACTCTGATCTGCTTCTGATCTTCTCTCTCCCTAACTGATTACACTCAACACTGGATTATCACACCCTATGTGGGAAGTCAGCCGACCATATTGTAATCTTATCTCACATTCCCCGCAGGTTCACAGATCGAGACGAGGAAAGCCGGCAACTGACCCCGTCAGAAGGAGAAGTAGAGAGAGGGCTGTGTCCATCTCCCAAAAGAAGCTTCCTACGTTCTGCCTCGTTAGGTAACTGCAAACACCATTTTATTGTGACCTGTAGGACACTTACTACACCACAGAGGGTATCGGAGAGCTGCGAACTGTAAATTAATCTCTGCCGGTCGGTATTGCTCATTTGTTGCTTTCTCTGCAGGCAGGAGGGCCTCATTCCATTTGGAATGTCTGAGGAGATACAGGAATCAAGGTGGGGACACGTCACCCAAAGCCGTATTACCGCAACTTCACCTGGTGCACCATCAGGTAGGTCCTCCAAGGACAGCATTGACTCTGTACCTCTGCTAATCAATTATGCCCTTTGAGAATGATGCGCTTGCTCTTTTGATACCTGCCAACCATTTAAACTTAAAAAGGAACCCATTAAGTCATATTTTTATCTTTCAATTTGAAAGGGTCATTCTACCAAGTATTGACATTTCAGTTTTTGGTAGATGCTGAGTTAAACCCCCTAAAAGACTATTCTGTTTCTTGGGCACTCTATTGGTGTGATCTTTATACTGAGTTCCTGGGTCTGCACACCTGCTGTGTTCATTATGAGAGGTTCCCACCATCCCTGAGCTGAGTTCCTGGGTCTGTACACCTGCTGTGCCCATTATGAGGGGCTTCCACTATCCCTGTGCTGAGTTCTCGGGTCTAGTGGTTCCAAAACATTATTTTTATTCTTTTTTTTTGGCCAAATAACCAAATAATATTCTTGTTTGCATAAGTACCTGGGCAGCCGGAGAGCTCTGGGCCTCATAGTATGGATATACTTTACATTGTTATTAATTAGGCTTCTTTAATATCGCTCACAATAATGTACTCTTTCTCCTTCTGTCTTGTGCGCAGGCATTAGCGGTGGCCGGCCTCAGTCCTCTGCTACGGAGGAGTCACTCGCCGACGGCGTTCTCCCGCCTCTGTTCTACTCCGCCCACCACGCCCTGCTCACGAGGGTGGGCACAACAGACTGTGCCAGCAGTAAGGCTACATGCGGACCCGGGGTCCAAAGAAAACTTTCACAGCAGCTTCCCATCTGTGCACTGCAGCGACTGCAGCCTCGAGCGGGACCGTCCCGTCTCCCTTACAGTCCCGTGCCATGTGCGGGAGCAAACGCGGCAGCACCACGGCAGTGCCAGCAGTTTAGTAGAAGCGGTAAGGAAAGCACACCATGTCCATTTTTTTTTTTTGCTGTCTGTCTCCATTGGAGAGATGTAATTCCACTTCCTGTCCTGTGTCCTGGGACAATAAATTATAACAAATCTCTACTTGGGGACAGACACTGCAACAAAAACACATTTTCTATTGCAGTGGGAAAAGGTTTTTCTGTAAGGTTTTTAATTCTGTCCTTGCCTTGCTGGTTTGGTGATCTCCAGTCCCTCATTTCCAGCAATGAGCATGACATTTCCCTGAACCAAAATTCACCGCAAAATTGCATTCAGCAAAATATTCTGCAAATTTCTCCTCTATCTTAAAGCTGAACTCCGACCTTCCCTTCAGTCTGCAATGTTGTAACAGCTCCTCTCCTGGGCTGATATTGCTTCCTCTGATTTCACTGCACACTGTGAGCTTCTCGCAATGCGCATTAGAAGCTGCAGCAAGTCAGATAGAGCCCGTCTCATTTCCTGTCTGGAGGAGGTTCAGCATCATCTAGGACTTTCTTCCTTAGACTTGTCAGAACGTTTACTCTAATTAAAACAAAAAAACAGTATTTAACTTTTGAAATCAGGCCGGGATCTGAAGTTAAGGAGATTCCCTACTAATTTTCACAAATTAACTAATAAGTTGAGTTCTTTATTTGCGCTAAATTGAAGATGAAATAAAAAGCAATAATGTGCAAAAATATATATATTTATTAACTAAAATCAGTGCAAAATAATGATCAAAATATAACTGGCGACAATAAATAATCAGAATCAAAATATGCAATAATATTGATCAGCAAAGATAATAATAAAACTAAAACCACGGGATATTATCTTAAATATTCATGAAACAAAACTTTGTATGTCCTGAAATGTCCTCAGTAACACTTGCAGTAGCTCAGCGTGATGTGACAAAATAATGTGCAGATTCAACACGTGACCTCTCCCAGCAAAACAGATATTCAAAGCTCAAAGTCTTTACTGCGCATGAACTGATTCAGAATACTATACAAAGGACTAGCTAGTCAGCCAAGAATCTATCTGAGGTAAAGACAAACTTCCACTAAAGGTCCCCACACACCTTACGATAATCGTACGATAATCGCGGGAAATCCCGCGATCGTACGATTATCGTAAGGTGTGTGGAAGCCGTGCGACCTCTACTACTGTAAGGTCGCACGACTTTAAACTTACGGACATGTTCGAAAACCCGCCGAGCATCGTACGATGTTCGGCGGGTTTGTGGCATGTCCGTACGATAACAGCAGTACGGGCCGGTGTGCGCAAGCGCACACTGCCCGCTCGGCATTGCGGTCATCGCAAGTACGATCTGCCTATGCAAGATAGGCAGATCGTACGTTTTTTTAAGTACCTTACAACCATCGCAAGACAAAAGTCTTGCGATGGTTGTAAGGTGTGTGCCCAGCCTAAGTTATGTTATTTTATGTATATATATCACAGCTAGACCATCGACTAGAAACTGAAATCAGCTTCAAGAAGATTCCAAAAATATTTCTCCCAAAATTAAAAGGGAGACCATTTTTACTGCAGCTAAAAGTATAAATTTAAATGTTTCAGAAATGAAATCATTTTTGGGTCACGCCTTAATGACCAAGGAAACATGTGGGTCCCGAGGTTACACTGGTTGAGAACCACTGTCTTAAAGCATTTACTACTTTAATTTACATTGAATTTAATTGAATTTACTTTACTACATTAAATAAAAAAAATAATTTGCTGCAATTTTGTTTCCTTTAAAGTTCACCTTATGAAAGCTGAAGTTTAATCTGCTTATATTTTACCTTCTTTAGTTCCTCCCGCCCCCCCACCAACATGCCAATAAAAATGTTAAAGGAAACCTTTTTGTTTTTATGATTTTATTTTAGACATAGTGATGTCATCACTGGGCAGGCTGGTGGTAGGGTGGTAGGGCCCAGCAGGGCCTCCTGAAAACATCACAGCAACCTGACTCAGTACTCCCAAGAGTCCCCAGCCCTGGTCTAAGCAGTGGGCCGGCTCTTGGGAGGGGTGATGCAAATATCAAAATGCCTTTATGGGTGGATGTCAGTCTGGAGGAGTGGGCCTCCTTAGGCAGGCTGTATAGGTATACAGACCACTCTAGGGTAGTGCTTCTTAAAGTGTGGGTCGTGACCCCATATGGGTCAGAGTGAGTCAGAGGTCAGCTCAAAACATCATATATCTGTAAGCAATTTACT